ACAACTTCCAGTGGGTCTTTATCCTACGTAAGCAGTCTTAAAATTCAAGTCGAGTATCAGGGAATCATGCAAGCACAACATTATACCATCATGTGACAAGCAACATTGTTGCATAACAAAACCTCTACGCTCTAATCATCCACGACCCATCATAGAGGCATCATTCAAAAACCATTTGAGTCATAATCATCAAGCATACGAGTCTGTATAAATCATTAGCATGCATTCATTAGGTCACTTCAATACCTATCCTCTCATCCATCTGACAAAGTCCGACAACATGGATCCAACAAAAAGACCAACTACGCATTCACATTTCAAAGTCCAACAAAGAGCCCAGTTCCCATTGGCACATCAAAATTCCATTTACTCATATCCAAGTCACTCATGACATACATCAATCAATCATCGCATTCCATGCATCAATCAAATATGCATGCATAGCATAAACTATTACTTTATGTGAAGACAATCATCTTTGTCAATCAAATTATCAACTCTACATTGAATCTCGACAGTAGATTCCCCTGCTTAATCTCGACAGAAGGTAATTCATAAATGAATTTTGGCAATAAATTCCCCTGATCGGTCACGGCTGTTGATTTTCCAGAAGACCTCGGCAGAAGATATCTCCTCAACAGAATCTCGGCAATAGACTCCCCTAGTTGATCACGACATTTGATTATCTGGAATACCTCGGCAGAACGTATCTCACAATTGAATCTCGGTAATAGATTCCCCTGGTCGATCACGGCAGTTGATTTTCCAGAAGACCTCGGCAGAAGGTATTTCCTCAACAGAATCTCGGTAGTGGATTCCCCTGGTTAATCACATCAGTTGATTATTCAGAAAACTTCGGCAGAAGGTATTCTAATTAAATCTCGGCAGTAGATTCCACTGGTTGATCATGGCAGTTGATTATCTGGAAGACCTCGGTAGAGGGTAATCTAATTAAATCTTGACAGTCGATTCCTCTGGTTGATCACGATAGTTGATTATCCGGAAGACCTCGATAGCAAGTATTTCAAATTGAATCTCGACAGTAGATTCTCCTGATTGATCACGTCAGTTGATTATCCGGAGGACCTCGGCAGAAGGTAACTCAACATTGAATCTCAACAGTCGATTCCCCTGGTTGATCACGACAGTTGATTATTCGGAAGACCTCGGCAGTAGGTAATTCAAATTGAATCTCGGTAGTTGATTCTCCTGGTTGATAATAGTAGTTGATTATCCGGAAGACCTCGGCAGAAGGTAACTCAAAATTGAATCTCGACAGTAGATTCCCCCAGTTGATCATGGCAGTTGATTATCCGGAAGACCGAGGCAGCAGGTAATTCTACATCAAATCTTGGCACTAGATTCTCCAGGTTAATCACGATAGTTGATTATCTAGAAAACCTCGGCAGAAGGTAGTTCAAATTGAATCTCGGCAGTAGATTCTCCTGTTCAATCACGGCAGTTGACTGTCCATAAGACCTCAGTAGAAGGTAGTCCTCAACAGAATCTCGATAGTATACTCCTTGGTAGTCTCGGCAGTGGATTTCCCGTTAAGAGCCTCACATTATGTACATGCATCACACATGACATTTATCAAAACATGCTTTGGGAAGAACCAATATCTTTGGGCTTTCCATCAGATTATTACCTTGGTTTAAAAACAGATACAACCTACAAAAAAATCCATTCTCATCTCTGATTTAATGATCTAAGATGTGGATCATTCAAAACAACTTCCTGTATATTCCACCCGTTATGTCAGTCTCTATGTGACAATGTGTGAAATTTTCTATATTTAACTTATTGTGTCAGTCTACATGCAACAATATGTTCTTTCTTCACGATCTAGCTCATTGTGTCAGACTCCAAGCAGCAATATCGCGAAACCAGAAATTCAGCTCATTGTATCAGTCTCCAGGAAGCAATATTGTTATCAAACATTTTTCTGCTATATAACTCATTGCATCAGTCTCCATGCAACAATGTGTTATCGGACTTTGTTTTATCCATCCCCTAGGTTGCGATGAATAAGCGAAACCAAATCAAACCAAAACTTACTATATTAGTCTCCGAGCATTAGTAAGTCGACTTTTTCAAACTCGTATCATTTACCTTCTAGGTTACGGTAAATATGCAAAATTGTACAATCTCCTTTAGATACTGATGAATTACCTGCGTCATCATCAAGTCAATTTCAGTTTAAACGCTGATTATATGGTACATCATCGTCTACGCCTATTCTTCGTACCCATGGGAGCGTTGTACAATGCACCCTTGTAGTCTCTCGGACAAATTTTGGGGTCCTTCAATATTTAATAAACTTCCGATCAGAACATGCGAGACCTACGTATTTTCGCACTGTTCAATCGAAATATAATTAAATAAGGGCAGCTGTCATACCCCAAATTTTCCCTACCTTCGTGTTATATTTAGGGTTCTATTCAATAAACCGCATTATTTAGTTTTTATTTCTACAGTGGTGCAAAATATCAAAGAGGGGTATATTGATTAAAATGGACCATCAATATCTGATGGCCCATTAAGTTTTTTTTTTAAGAGAAGTCCATTTCAAATTAAAAATTAGAGGTGCATTACTCTAAGCAAAGGTGGTGAACAATTTTGTTTTGGTTAAAGCCCAATACACTTAAATTATAAGGCCCATATAGAACACGTTTTTGTTAAAATCCAGTATTAAAAAAAAAAAGAATTTGGCCCATTTGGTTTTAAAAGATTTTTGTTTTTGTTTTTTTTATATAACATTATTAACATTTTGTTATAATTAATTATTTTTCAGATTAAATTATTAAAAAAAAAATTGTTGTTGTTTTGTTTCTATATTATTAATTAAAAATGAAAGAACATTAGCTTAGATAAATACCTTTTTCGCATGACCCAACGCCTAACCCAATAAATTGAAATAATTTGGCCCATTCAATGTTAGTTAGTTTGTTTTCTATTTTTCAAAATCATAACATTACATTTATCTCATTATTGTCTTTCCTTTAAAACATAATTAATTTGTTTTCGACCCATCACTAATAAGCCCGATTTCAATTGAAAAAGTTTATTTCCAAAAAAGAGAGGAACAAGTATTGTGTGGATTAAAACGAAAACACACACTTTACTGTTTTAAGCCATTACTGCACAAATCAAGGAGAATTGACTCAGAATCATCACAACCCATAATATAAACGGAAACAAAACCGAATTTATTATAGGCCAAGACTAAAATCAGAATTTCAATCAAAGCATTGTACCAACTTACAGAGACATTACAGTATTTCCAAAACCAATTTACGACATATTAAGGTCTTTCCAAATGTATGAATTCTAAGAAGCTATAAAATGAAGCAATTACTGTAAAAAGAGGAGGACGAAAAACAATGGCAAAGAGGTTACAATAAGAACACAAGTTAAGGGGGGGGGGGGGGGGGGGGGGGGGGTGTGGTAAGAGTAAAGGAGGAATCGAAAAACCATCTAATTTTCATTCTTCCATTTACCTTCAAACATCATCAGTTCACCTCACCACTGTTCTCCCACCGCGGTACCGCTAGCTTGCCTTCATCAACCACCCGCGACCAACAGCCTTGCCGTCACACTCCAACAACCTCAACAACATGGACTCCGCCGCAGCTTGTTACAAACGTCGGCCACGCGCAGAATGCACACAAGCCTCCACCGTGAAGTCTCCGCAAGCCTCCATCAAAACCTCTCCAATCCGCCATCATCCTCTCGACTACCACCGGCCTCCGCTATTTCTTCGGCCATAAACTCCGATCGTTGCACCCATCGAAGCCGCCGGCCAAAGCTTCCATCACCACAAATGGAAATCGTGTCGTTTTGAGAAGAAGACAGGATGAAGGGTGAAAATGAGGAACGAGCGAAGGAAAAAGGAAATTGAATCTGAGAAGTAAAAAGAATTCTCTCTCTAATGGTACATGTATTGCATTATTTTATTTTTTTGTAAACTTCACCGCCACATGTCGTGATCTGATAGGTTAGAGAGAGTTGGAAAAGTCAAACAAAATTGAAGGGGTGAGATGTGTGCTGTACGTTTTTTCTTATTACTAATACTTTTTTGTTAATTAGGGTTTGAACACTAAAGTTTGGTTTAGGCTCATGTCTCTAACATTCTTTCAATTGCACCACCCATCTCTACTACTTACACCCCTCACACTTAATCTAATTTTAATAAGTTCATTGATATTTAGTTAATTAGACTAACTATATTTAATTTAATTAATTATCTTAATTAATTAATTATTGTGATAAATCAATAAAATGAGTTTCTAAGTGATGTTAGTTAAACTAATTTCAATATAATTCGCTAGCTATTTGATTAGTTTAGTTAAGATCTATTTTATTTTACAATTAACATTCTCGCATCTTACCAAAAAATCGCTAACTTATAAATCAAAAAAGCTTTTCATAATAACTAATTAATATTTTACATCAAAATATTAAAACCCACGCGATTCGCTAAATTACTTCATCCGCGAGCGACATGTGGCCAATACCTATCCACGTGATAAAGAAACTATATCAGACTCCTCTGCTATACGTCTAAAAAGAAATATACGCAAATAAACGTCAAACTATTTTTATAATAAATTAAATCAAACAATTAATTTTCAAAAAGGAATACGCAGATATTCTAATTAACTGCGCACTAGTCCAAAATCTCCGCTATTCACACATTCGGGTTAATTGCGAGAAAAATTAAAACATCTGCGTAAACCATAAAAAATACAAACTCCCGCTAATTAAAATCAAAACCTTTTTCCCGCTAAATAAAATTCAAACCTTTTTTTCTAAAATATATTTAAATATCTATTTTCTTAAAAAAGTACTTCTAAACTTAGTATCTTGTGAATAAGGTAGATAAGGAATAACCCTAATACCTTTCCCTTTAAGATTATTCCTATATATTCTCTTCCTTTAGCATAAAAATTAAGGGCGGAGACTCCATAAAAAAAACAGTTGGAACACATTTCATCTTCATGGCTTCATCATTCGGGATCAATCTTTCTCCCTACTCCAAGCTTATTCTGGAACAACAATACATCATCATCAACAAACTTCAGCAACAACAAGAACGAAGCCGATACAGAACGCACGCAGAGTTCGCAAAAGCAAGATCAAAAGAAGATAAAAGAGGAACAAACAAGAAGCGGATTAATGGAAAGGATTTGAGAATAATAGAATACTTACCAAAAGAATTTGTGATCTTTATCTCTGAATTTCCGTTCGTATTTCTCGTTTCAAAAAGCCATCGGAGCATCTCCGATCAAGTAAGCCTTGAACTCCCTCTATCTGCACTTGTTTTGCTTTGCGTTCAGGTATCGTTTGAATCCGAAATCGTACTTGAAACACGCCGCGAGTTGATATGATGAACGGAGGTGAGCCACGCGGAGGCGATGAAGGTTGAATCTCCGTGGCTTAGTATCGCGCTGTTGTGAGACGTGAAGATGGAGCTTGAACGAAGATTGAATCCGCGAAGGTGAATCGGAGAACAGAACGTGTGTAACGGAGAAAATGAAGACGAATCTGAGAAGGAGATTTGGAGAAGAGGATGAACGCTTTTGAGCGGTGCACGGCGGTCACGACGAAGAAGAAGGTGAGATTGAGAGCGCCGCCGCGAAGAAGACGAGTGAAAGTCTGTGCATCCTGAAGATGAATCATCACATACTTCTACCCTAACACCAATTCCCAAAATGATGCGCTTCATTTTTTTTTTTTTTTAATTTCTTTTTTTATAAAAATAAGAGAGTTGAATAATAATTGGAAAGAAAATGAAATGAATTTGATGGTGATGTTTAACCAAATTTTTGTGTGGACCGAATTCTCCCTGATAAGCCCATGAACGTTTTTGGAGCCTGGAGTTGTGTTACAAAAATGTTGTTGGATCCTTTGAAGTGGGCCTTACGCCCAGATCCTTACTATACCAGTTATTCAAACACCACACCCCTTGGTCTTCTAAACTTCTTATTTTATTTTGTTAGTTGTTTTGATTTGTTTTCACATTTATTTTAAATAATTGTTTGTGTGATATTGCCATGATCCCTTTAGGAAAACTCCATGAGACGATTAATTTCTTTTTTAATCGTTTTATGTTGAGTTAGACATTAGGTTTAAAGCCTTGACATGATAATTTTAGGATAAAATTCTCATTTTCAATCCCAAGTTTAGGATTACCATTGCATGACAACATTAGGAAGTAAGATTCACTTAGATTTTTCATTCCCCTTTTGCATCCTTAAGAATAAAACTCTTTCTTAAATCAAAAACTTTAAAATATTTAATAAATAAAGATTTGAATTGTATGCAGTTGAGTCTTATGGAAAAGAGTGAGACAGTACATTCCTAACTTTTCTCTTCTTCCATTTCCGGACTTTATTACAATTCAATTCACACTCTTTTGCAAATAAGCAGAGAAATAGCTGATGCACCTCCATTGGGATTCATTTGCTACTATCCCGACAAAACACTTAACAAACCCAAACTTCTTTTGCCAATTGGCTTTTCTTATGAAAACTTTTTCAAAAAGGGTTTACCCATAAAAAACTTAACGAATAAAGAGGTGAACCATATGTCACGAGCCTTAAGTATTGTGAGGAGAATGAGGGGGTACATTTCCTAACCTTGTGCTTTCTTCCAATCATAGTCTTTAATGTGGTTCAAATCCTCAAATCCTTTGTCAAGGTAAAAAAGACTAAATCAATTTAAACCTTTTACCTTCAGGTTGCCTTCGGGTTTTTCCTTTTGAACACCTTTTCAGGTAAGAACATGTTAATTCCTTTCTACAACAATTGCGTGAGTCTCCAAAGGTCGAGCGATAATAGAATGTGAAATTAGCATCATTCATTAAAAACACAAACAAACAAAAACTTTTGAGCTGAACTACGGCGCTCTGATTCCTTAAAAGGGATTGATGAAACCAAAACATGTCATATATTTGAATCGATTTAGGCATGTTTTCTTATTATTTTATTTCCATTTCTAGTATTATCTTGGTATTTTTACTTTGTTTTAGGAAATTGGCTAATCAGGAGCTATGTGTGAAGAAACAAAGCAAAACAAGTGAAAAACGAAGATATGGAGCTAGCTTGCACCTATGGCTATACCCATGGCGTTCGTCCTAGGGCTGCCATTGGTGGTCCGCACACCAACTAGTAGGATGACCAAGTCATGCCCATTTTGTGAGCATGGCGGTCGCCATGAGGGTTTGGTGGTCGCCACCCTTTGTAAAGTCCAAGTTATTGGAAACAACCCATGCTTAGACTCCAAGTTACCCCAAGTTTCTCCTACAATTTCTCCATGACGTGGAAGCGCTTCTTCAAGGATTTTAAGGTTTTAGACTCCTATAAATACCCATTCACTTCATCATTTCAGGGCATCCAAGCTTATGCATGCTTAAGCCATATACTGTCAATTTGTAAAGCAATAATCTCTTCACATTGGAGGATTATTGTGTCGTGGATTGAGTCTGTATCAAGTTTGGAGCACTCCTGTACATGTTTTATTTCAAGACTTTTACTTCTTCTGTTTACATTCCGTCAAGATTTACTTCCAGTCATTGTAGTTGTATCATATTCAAGACTCCGTTTGGAGTAGGTTTTTAATTCATTTAGTATTTACTTTATTTGTCTTGCCTTTACTTTTATGTCTTATTTATTGCTTTAATTCTCTTCATATATTTACCCGTCATTATGTTTATCTTTACAGTTAAAACCGTTTATATTTTGTTTTCCCTAATCATGTCCGACTAATTTACTACGTACTGAGATGTGAGGATCGTCAATAGGCGATGCTCTACATGTTATCTCTTTAGGATTACCTTTGTGGCATGTTTTGATCTAAACGCAATTTTTCTAAACTTATTTTGAATCTGATTACACGAAAGTGAAGCAGTGAAAACGTCAGGTAAGATAGAAATTCGTCTGACACTAAAGACTAAAATTGGATTGTTTTTGGTTAACAAATACCGGGAAAGCACTTTGTTAGTTAATTAGGAAGATTTGATATTTCTAGAAGGAGATTTTAAAACTATTTGCAGACGCGTTTGTAGGTTTAGGATCTGGTTGCCTGAGCAAAAGCCATGAACCCTTTTAAGTCAAACTTTCCAATCAAAATCACTTTTCAACTTGGTTAAGAGTTTAATTTCTTAAAAATAGGTTTACTACTTTAACGCGATAAGCACCTTCCAAAAGTGACATCGGCGGGCATAAATTAGGGAGTAAACTCGGTTGCAAATACACGGCAACAACAATTCCTATTAAATTGATTCTTCTCAAAGTAGGAAATATTACCCCGTAAGAAATCTTAGTAGAGACAATCTGAGCATGGTTGATTGATGTGAATTACATTTCAGAATTGTTATTTATCTGTTTTTTATCAAAAGTTTATTTATTTTCGTTCCTTTTCCACTACTATTCTTAATTGCCTTAGATAAACAATGTAACAACTAGAAATAATAGATTTGACTATTGGTCTCCATGGATTGATATATTTTTAAAACTACATGATAGGATATACACTTGCAGTTAGATTTTACACTCACATGAATAGCTGATCAAGTTTTTGGCGCCATTGTCGGGAACCAATTTCGTCAAAATATTGTAACCTCGTTGTTACAGTGTTTAAACTAAGGCACTCTTTTTGGTAGATGCGAAGAACTCATAGTACCAGAACCTTGGTAGAGCCAATAGAAGAACCAGAAAGATATGCAAGAGAAAGACTTAGAAATTTGCTTCAATGAATTCGTAGAAAGATTGTTGAAGAACAAGATCTTAAGTCCCTTAAGGATTTCTCCTTGCCTTCCAACAAAGAACCTCACTCGAGTATTCGTAGTCCTGCGATAGCAGCTCTAAACTTTGAATTGAAACCCGCTTTGTTGAAAATCATGCAATAAAACTAATTTGCATGTCCCCTAACGGAGAACCCTAAACAACACTTGAAAGTGTTTATCCAACTAGCTGACACATTTAAAAGCAATGGTGTTCCTCCTAAGACTATATGTTTATGTTTATTACCTTTTTCCCTCAGGGATAGAGTAAGATCATGGCTAGATTGTCTCCCGAAAAATTCTATCACCACTTGGAATGACCTCAAGAAATTTTTCGTTGCTAGATACTTTCCACCAAGTAAAATTGCTATCTTAAGAAACCAAATAACTAGATTTAATCAACAAGACAATGAATCTCTTTTCGACGCTTGGGAGAGATATAAAGATCTTTTAAGAGCATGTCCACACCATGGATTGGAACAATGGTTGATCATTCATAAAAAGTCTTATCTAGAACATGAGAATGACCATCGATGTTGATTCTGGTGGCGCCTTGATGAACAAACCATACCCTGAAGCATGTTCTCTCATAGAAGATATGGCCCAAAACCATTATCAATGGGGAGCTGAAAGGATACATATAAAGAAGAAAGAAACAAAAGGAGGCATATACGAAGTTAGTAGCCTAGACCGTATGAATGCCAAAATGGATGTTTTAGCATAAAAGGTCGAAAACTTAGTTGTCAACCATACAACCACCATAGTTGCAATCCAACCCGGATGTGAAATATGTGGAACGCAATGGCATATAACTGCCAAATGCAACCTTATAGCTGAGTCAAATCCCGACCAGGTAAACTATGCCCAAGGAAATCCATATTCAAACACTTATAACCCTGGATGGAGGAATCACCCAAATTTATCTTACAAAAACAATAATACCATCCAGAACCCCTCACCTCAGAGATCTCAAGGTTTCCAAACACAAAAACCTTCGCAGCCTATGCAAATGCTCCCTCGGAAATCAAACCTAGAGAAAATGATGGAAAGTTTCATCTCAACTCAATCTCAGCAAAACAAAGAATTCATGAATCAAAACATTCATATAAATGTGTTGATTACACAATTAGGTAACAAAGTTGATTATATGGTCACACACAACAAGATGCTGGAAACCCAAATCTCTCAAGTAGAACAACAACAAGCTGCCCAGGCTATGCCAGGAGGATCATTCCCTGGACAACCTCAACCTAAGCCAAAAGACCATGTTAATTCTATTTCACTATGAAGCGGAACTGCATATGATGGACCCGTAAACTGTAGGTTAAACGACAATCTAAAGAAGCCTGAACCACCAAAAGAAAACATTGTGACTACACCTGAAAATCCATTAGTAGAAGAATCGGTTGAACCTAAGAAGCAAGTAGAAGGAGAGGATAAGGAAAAAGAAATCGAGAAAAATAGCCAACCCTACATGCCACCCCTTCTTATAAACCACTGATTCCATACCCACAAAGGCTTAAACAAACCAAATTGGACAACCAATACAAGAAGTTTATAAAGCTTATAGAAAAACTTCACATTGAAATACCTTTCACCAAAGTTATCACCCAGATTCCATCATATGCCAAATGCTTAAAAGACATCTTGACAAACAAGCATAAGCTTGATGACCCTAAACCTATGGAATGCAATTCTATTTCTATTACTAAGAACAAGATATCCAAGAAGGAGAACGACCCTAAAAGTTTTTATATACCATGTGTCTTAGGAACACATGTTATTGATAGAGCATTACTAGATCTTGGCGCAAGTATAAGCTTGATGCCTTTAGTTGTTTGCAATAGAATAAACTTGGGAGAACCTCAACCTACAAAAATGTCCCTTCAACTGGTTGATCGACCAGTGAAGTATCCTATAGCTATACTAATAGACGTTCCAGTTAGGATTGGTTAACTTTTTATCCCAACAGATTTCATCGTAATTGACAATCTTGAGGCATGATGAATCATAAAAGACTTTGTCACGATATTAACAAACACCTTTAATGATGAGGCTTGAATCTCAATGAAGCTTGGTTGAGGAAGGCACAAAAATGAACTCATGAATCCCTAGATCAACCTTGATGGAATGTATTGTGCTTTCACCTACAACATCAACAATTGGGGCAAACACTCATTGTATTTATTAGTTAAAGGATAATCAATACAAAACATAGATAATCATAAAATACAAGTCAATGTGCTTGGTGATTCCTCCTAAAGAAAAAGTCAAAGATAGGGAGAAGAACCAAACCCCCTAATGTGCTCTTGTTGTGATTGAATTTATATGATATGATGAAGGGATCTTAGGGGAAAAAATTAGGGTACTATAGAAAATATTTCAAAAAAGTGTTTGTGTGAAAAGAGATGTTTTTGTTTGTGAGCAAACGACTACGAGCATTATACCTACTCAAAGAAATATTTGTTATTTTCCTCCTCCTTTAGATGGTGTTATCCTACCATTAGTTAGTAGGAAGCCCTATCGTTGGATGTGAGGAACAGGCACGGGTCATTGTACAGTCATAGAAGACAACTTGTAGGATGCTTTAGCAATTTTCATAAGGGAATAAGATCGTTTACTGAAGGCAACATTGAAGGGTCATCGAGGGACTATGATCTTTTAACCAATGGTCTTTTCTAAAGCATCCCATATTCGAGGGACATGACTGTTTTTTATCTGAGGCAACAAGTGAGGGTCACCCTAGACGTGTACGTGTACGAAGTGTTTTGATTTCAAGTATTTGTCTTGAGATTAAGTTTTCTAACGTTTGTTTTTTTATGTCTTGCCATGCACACCTAATTAATATACAGTTAAGTATGTACATGCATTCATACTAAATTGCGAAAAGTAAAAATGTGGGAAATAAATCTATGCTATTACAATGCTTCGGGAATGGGGAATTACAAACTTTAAAATGGGGAAATATAAAGAAGTCCTAATTTATCTATTACATACCATTGACAGTTACATAATGATAATAAGGCGAAAAATAATTAAACGTACGAAGATTGAAAAGGGAAAGGATATCAACCCTAAAAGATTTCTAAGTGTTTTAAGAAAAATATTTTTTGTTGTTTTTTGTTTAGAAAAATATTTAAAATGTAAAATAAAAATAAAATCCAATTCTAATTAATTTATTAGTTAATTAATAAATGAAACCAAAATATGATTAAGTTAATTAATTTTTATTTGTCAAAAAATAAATTAATTAACCAAAAACCTAAATCTAATTTCTTTATGATTTTATGATTTTATGATTTTTGTTGATTAAAATAAAACTGATTAAAAAAATAAAATGTTAATTAAAACAAAATAAAGAAAATTAAAATGGGCCTGCAAACAAGTAAAATGGGGGTGAGAAAGAATAAAAAATATAGGCCCAAACTAGACAAAGCCCAGGTCTGTGCTGGATCCAGTGAGGGTGGCTTTCAGAAGGTGCATGATAGGGTGTGCGTTTGGTGCGTTAGATTTGTCTTTGATGAGATCTGATGGTCAAAGACTGGAAATGCATGGTGCACGTGTTGGGCTTGTCATACTGAATCTACAAGGAAAATGTTAGAAAATAAAATGCCAGAGGCAGGGATCGAACCCTTGCCCTGGTACACCAAAGCCTTTGCATGCTTCCTTCTACCGTTAGGACGGCTGTTTCATCCGGTAGTACAAATGAAAATAATTAATTATATAATAAACTAGTTTTAAAAACAGAACAATGGCGCCATGGCCATCGTCTTCTTCCTCACGACCATCATTCCATCATCAAACATGTAAC